ATATATATATATATATATATATATATATATATATATATATATATATATTAAGAGAGAGAGAGAGAGAGAGAGAGAGAGAGAGAGTTTTTCTAGATTTAACTAGACCGTTGTGTTTAAAATCCACCAAGGCAAAACATGTCGTGTTAGAACAGTCTGGTTCTAGGGACGAAGATATATATATAGATATATATATATATATATATATATATATATATATATATATATATATATATATATATATATATATAAATGCTTCAGTTTTACATATGGGCGAATCGTCACGATTGTTATATGCAAGACAGTCTACATAATGTAAATCAACCATGCAGGTTTCCACCACACAGACACTCTACCCCTCAATCAATAAAACACTCGCCGTTTTCTGGACATTAAAAATGTATGGCACCGCGGACACGGAACCTTCCAGAACACACCGGACCCTTACATGGCTCTAGCCCATCTTGGGTGCTATTAAAATTGTGATTCTAATTAAAGTCAACTGAAGAGAAGGATTGACCATAGCCTTGTGCCTGTTTATAGTCCTCATATTATTAATATAGGATAAGCTACTGGTCACTGTTCTTAATGTTTAAAACTTTAAATACAATTCGGAAATACCAGTGTAAAGATATAACCCTGATACTAACTTTGCCCTCGTGAATTTACCAATGTTTTCACCACTAAAAGACAATTCTTAAACCTCTATAGATACCCTGTATAAATATCACAACAATGTACCTCAGACATCAACTATAGCACAACACTACATTTATTCTTCAAATAAATTGATATTAATTTCTCAGCTAAAATGACAACTTTAAAAATAATTGAAAACAAAAAAATTATCATTTAGTTACATGTGATTGTGTTGTTATATTGGAGCTAGAAATTTTGTACAAATAGTGACACAACGTTAAGTAAATTCTCAAACAATGATATGCTAATATTATGCTTTACACCATACTGCTACACTACTTTGTTAATGGTGCGCATAGTTCCATTTCTCTGATAGGTTAAAGTATGCTTTAAATCGTTCGTTATAATACCAGTTTTATGATGTGTTATAAAATTATGTTGCATTCTAAAACAACTCGCCACATACATTTTATTATTGAGGATTTTTAACTAATTTCTGCACAATATTATTTTATTTTATAGTTTAATTAAAATTCCTCAAGACAAACAATGAAACATTTAAAGCCTTCTGTCAGTTAATAACCAAAAAATATATTCATTGAAACTGGATAAAGTGTACAATAATTTTATCGTGACTAGGTACTCTACAACAAACACTCCATCTAATTTGAAAGATAAACTGTGTTTTACAAAATATCAAATTTCCTTAGTTCTAGCACTTAAAAACTAAAAATCACAAGTTAAAATTTCACTGAAATGAACTACTGTAATCTAGGACAAATGCTCGCAGAGCAAGATCTTTAAAAAGATCTTAAAACTTTTTTTCTCCTTACACTATCTTGAAATGCAGCGTTAAGTTTGTCAAAATAACGATAGATTAACTCTAATACCCAAACGAGATTTAGAATTCGTTTAAAACAATGAAATGTTTAATCAACAGTGGGCGGCAACCAAAGAAGAGAAGTAGAGACTGGTTTAAAAATAAAACGTCTTCAAGCCAACAGCTTTACCTAGCGCGGATCTGTTGATAGATCAGGAGATTGGGATTAGTAGCGTTATATTAGGCGAACTTACTAGGAGACACCCCCAAACGTGATGACAGCGAAATGAAATATAGCTAACGAGCTGACCCGCGACGTAGCATACGCCGCTATCTAGTTGTTTTATTTTCTACTTATCAACAATTCATATATATAGCTGTTGGGGGAGGGGGGTGACACCCTGGGTTGCAGACCGGAACATATCTATATAACTTTGGTACATATATCTATTAGCCATTACCTTCGCCATCACTCGGTCATTCTAAAACCGTAGACGTCATTGGTGATTCTATTGTAAGCACCTGAATATGATGAACCTGTGTATTTAAATTAAGCTGCGGTCGATTAAAAAATTTATATTTTCGAATCTGAATTAAAATTTATACTTTGTTTTTTTCTTAATTCTATAAAATTAAATTAATTAGACTAGAGTGGGATAGTGGGTAAATATGACTAAAGCGGGTTTTTCAACTCACATATTTCTGAAATCCCCCTTCCTCGTTGTATTTTTTATTCAACAACATATTTCTTAAATAAAATAACAACCCATTAATCTTTTTTTTTTGTAAAGCTAAAATTAATTTGTATTGTAATTTTAAAATGAAGAGTTACACATACACCCTACAAGCACTAATTGCTTTTAATTTTGATTGTATTTAAAAATTAATGCACCAACTCTAATTTTTAAGAAAAATTCATTGCAATTTATCTTTCTCCCAAACATAACTCAACACTACGATGGCCAGCACTCATCAAAATACCAAAGCTGGTTTTGGTTTCACATTAAAATACTTGCCTACCGTAAACCCTAAAATATGTGAATATTAATGATAAAATAATAAATATAAATAAACAGTTAAACAGTTAAAATAATACTCGTTAGTGCCGGACTAAGATTAATATAGTTAACATACTACCTAGCAGAATCAAACAAAACATTTTTCAACTTTACAGGTATATTTATTTTCACTATTCTACTGATTCCTAGCTTGTAAAGGTAGATTTACTTACAATTAGCGAGCTCTTCCAACCCACCGTCTAATAACAATTAAGGTATTATTTTTAGCAAAATAAAGTTTTAAATTTGATGACGCGTTGTTTGATAACTCGTTAACGATACCAGATTAGAACTACACAATTTAAACATTTATCCTGTTTCGCTAAAAGTACAGTGAGATTCCGATAAATTGTGTTGTATTATATTTGCTTGGATATTTATTTTATAACTTATTTATATTTTTTTTAAACACTTAAAACACGTAACGCACACAACCAGATTAATTTTATTCCCAATACCGTAATTGTTAAAATACAGACCTAGGCCTATTTAAAAATACACATTACTTCAATTACCACATGGACAGCTTTTTTTTCTATAAGCTTACTACACTTTTGATCTATAGGCTTACTACACTTTTTGTCTATAAGCTTACTACACTTTGGTCTATAAGCGAACTACAATTACCTTATCGACAATGTACGACTATTACCGACAATTAGTGATTGACCGACTAATTAAAATTATACACGTCGAGTTTTTAGTTTTCCGTATTGTCGTTGTTCGGGTAAAACTAAGTTGTGAAAACATTTTTATGTCTTGACCAAGCCGGGTATTTAATTAACTATGAAACATAGAGGTATATTTCTTAAAACTTAGTGAATCTTCCCTAAGAATTATTTAATTATTTAAAAAAAAATCTCGAGAAATATAATTTGATGTATGAGGGAGGATAATAAATGACACACATGAGTATGAAATTATAACATTTAAAGGTTTAGTACCCGCTTATTTACCCTCATAAATGTATAAAATCTTTATGAAATTTTACTTGGGAATTTCAAAAACTCTAATGAGATCAATAAACTTATATTTCAGTATTTATTTTACGATTTTCTTCTCTTATTTCCTGTTATTTGATTTCATTATTTTCCATTTGTCTTAACTCTAAAATGGACGTGAAGTCAAAAAAAAAATACAAATCGAGGTGAACGGGTAGAGATCATGTATTTGAAAACAATTGATTTAATGTTTTATCTATATTCTTGTTTATTCTATATTCCTATCTATATTCTTATATTTTAAGTGATGAAATACTAAAGTGTATTTGTCTGATAATAATTCAGTTACGAGGCAATAAAACAAATTACCTGTTATAAATCAATGATTTATTTTATATAATAGCTTATAATAGGAATACTCTATTTCAAACAAGCCGTAAATATAATCTCAAAGGGATTCAATTTTTAAAATCGAAATCTATATCCGAGCGGCCAGGAAAATAAATAAAGGTGACCGCTCCAGACTAAAATTTTAATAGAGAATTTTCTTTATGATCCTATCCTATAGACTGATGAATACAAAGTCACGGGTCACTTTACAAATTATAGTATAAAATAATAGCAAATCGACAAATGGAGCGGGTGGGGAAGGGGGTGCTAAGTAAATGATATACTTAAAAAGATGAAAAATTGTAATAGGCCCAAATACAACACGTATTTCAACTGTTAAGTAAATTAAAACTTTTAAAATAATCAAGACACTAATAGGCCCATAACAGCACTTTCCCGGCGGCCCACTGGGATATTTTCTTGGCGGTCTACCCGGATTTTTCTTATTGTTTCGGCGGCCCATTTCACCCCTTACTACTATGGATAAGGTTTGTATTTTGTTAAAATGAACTCATGATAAAGATATGTTTTTAAGTGGGAGAGGTAGGGAAACAGTTGGATAGCCAATACGTTAAACGAACGGGAAGTTAAGTTCAAGAAATATAAATTAATATAGCATCACTCAGGAGAAACGGCAATAAATATAAATTAGAATTGCGACGCTTAAGAAAAACTGCAATTAATATAAATTAGAATTGCGACACTTAAGAAAAACTGCAATAAATATAAATTAGAACTGCGACACTTAAGAACAGTGCAATAAATAAAAATTAAAATTGCGACACTTTAAAAAACTGCAATCAATATAAACTAGAATTGCGTCACTTAAGAAAAACTGTAATAAATATAAATTAGATTCGCAACACTTATTAAAAACTGTAATAAAAATAAATTAGAATTGCGGCACTTATTAAAAACTGAAATATATATAAATTAGAATTTCGTTACTTAAGAAAAACTGCAACAAATATACATTAGAATTGCGACACTTAAGAAAAACTGTATTAAATATAAATTAGAATTGCGACACTTAAAAAACTGCAATAAATATAAATTAGAACTGCGACACTTAAGAAAAACTGCAATCAATATAAATTAGAATTGCGACACTTTAAAAAAACTGCAATAAATATAAATTAGAATTACGTCACCTACCTGACCCAAAGACTGGCGGCTGCGGGTGGTGATCACGTGGCCTGGGCACCATACTGCAACTCCCAGCCGGGCCGAGCCCGGGTGGGTTCGAACCCATGGTGGGGAAGGACCGAACCCCGTTGTACCGCCCGTATCCCTGGCCCATCTGAGAGAACATGTTGGCCGAATCGGGATACGAACACGGGATGTTGCATGGATTGCCGAGACCCGAATCCATGGATGAAAGTCCGCAGTTCGCAGCATCGAAGCTGGACTGGTTGAGGTATGGATAATCCATCATTTGTGCTGTTTGTTGGATGCTGGGCTACAGCAAACTGTAACACTATTGTTCTTAAATTATATCTAACAATGCTATAATGAAGATACCTTGTTGCTTATTTCCAGATAGCTGTGTGTATAGAATCTTTAAGTCCAAGCATAAATCTAGCGAATTCAAATCAATTTACGTTGCCTAGAGTTCATGCATTAGTTTCATAGCATTGAAACCTAAAGCTAGACCAGTTTGAATTTATTCTGTGAATAATATTATGACATTTTTAATAATCTTTCAAACTTGGTTGTAGATTTTATAGATCTAATACTTATTAAACCTAATAAAAAAACACAGTACGCCTGCATTGCTGTATTTTTTTTCTTCAGTTTTATAAATGCATGAAACTAAACATTACACGCAAAATGAAAACTCTTGTTGTTACAATTTTTTAAGCTACGAATCATAGTAAAAAAAAAACAAACAACTAGTAACTGAATATACGAGAGCTTCAATCGCGACAGAATTATCAGGTTTTAATAACCTTTTAAAATTTCACTTGATCTACCGTTAAAATTCTTTACGTTACTCTTTTAATGAAATAGCCTAATTGGATCGAAATCAATTTATATGTAACAATATGCTGAAATAAAACCTAACACATTCGTCTATCATAAAATCCTAACATAAACGTAAAGCCCTTGAGCATGATTGTTAACAATCATACAATGTATTACGAATAGCATTGACTTTTAAAAAATGTAAACACATTCGAAATATAAAATAACACTCGATAAACAACAATCACATAAAAAAAAGTCCAGAAGTGTCACATTCCAATCTTTATGAACACGCTTACAAAATCAATACACATTTTTTTAAAAATAAACCATATCTCGCTTTCCGCCATTACAAATTACGTGTTAGGAAAAATTATTTCAAATTGTTGACACCCTATTAAAGCCACACAAGCAAACTCCGTTAATATTTCGTTACAGCAGAAATGTGGTTAAGAAACCGCTGATTCCCCCGATCCTGAATCAAGCCTGCGCTAAAACAGTAATTAAATCTATCAATTTTAAGCCCTATATTATATTAGCGGAGGCGCATAAACGATCTTTGCTAGCCGTAGCGGATTAATCTAATATAAACCGGGAGTATAATCCAGAAACCGATACTAAACTAATAGACTAGAGCCGCGAGAGGTATTACAATCATAATTTAATACGTCAACGTGAGAAACACTACGAGGATAAATCGTTGCGAATTTTTACTCCGTCTTAAAATATTTTCGACTCTTAAAAAACGTCTTACATTTTATTATGTTTAATTCTTCTGTTCATCGTAAAAGCGTTATGCTCGGTTTAAATATTACACGCGTTCTGTTTTTCGTGAACAATACTTTAATGATCTTACAGTCTTATAGTTACTTCTACTTATTTCTCCAGATATATAACACCCAAGGCGATTCTTAGTTACCATGTCCGAGATCGAAAAAAAAATTGTATTTCCACTATGATGTAGATCGGATAGGTAAATTCGGTTAGGCGTTTCCCAAGGCAGGTTATTCTGCTGAAAAATCTTACTAACCCTTTCTCCTGAAGGGCACCTAATTCTCGTGCGAGAACCAACAGGCCAGATCGCTCGAACTAGTAGATTTGATTAGAAACCGGTTCTCCGAGACTCTAAAAAGATGCACGGCTAAATTCTATCTGCCTTATATCTAATTTAGGCCCCCACACAGATAAAACGATCATTGAGTTTGGAAAGTGAGAAATTCGCTAAACGGCCTCGGCTTATGTACGCCCGCCAGTATAATCAGGTTCTTGAGCATGCGCTATGATGTTACCTCGATTCACCAAACCCCCCTCCCCCTCCCTCTATCTCGACGCCACCCCCTTGCGACGCCACCCCCACCCATTTCCTTCAACAAAACGCACCCACTCTCTAAATTTCTCTCTCATTTTTTTTTTTTCTGTGACGGTTTCCAGACTAGGGGCTCCAGGCTATGTTGGGCACCGCCTTCGATCAATGAATCAAGCCGATTCCATCCCCACAGCCAGTCCACCAGTCAGTTCCATAACGCCCGGCACCGGAGACCCGTTATTGGCGTTTAGGGGCGGGCTGCACCGGCTCTGGTGATGAAAATCAATTTCAGGAAAAATTCTACCAGCCGCGCTGAACCCGATTTGTAGCAGAGACGAAGGGAGGGTTGAAGAGTGAGGAGGCAAAGATGGAAGGAGGGAAGGAGGGAAGGAGGGTAAAGGAAATCTTGTTCAAGCTGAAGCGTGGGTTATTTGTCTTTTCATTTTGATTCCCGGGGCTGGGGAATCTATCGGCGTGTCGTCTCCTCGTACTTGTAAATCTTAGAGACGTTATCATTTCTTGGGCGCTTAACGAAGAAATCTATTTTTAGAACGTTGAACCAAAGCACAGACGCGACGGATTACTTAAATATTCGTCCATGTCATTTTTTGTATAGCAACAGTATATATATATATATATATATATATATATATATATATATATATATATATATATATATATATATATATATATATATATATATATATATATATATGTGTGTGTGTGTGTGTGTATAATATTATTTTATAAAAACAAAAAATAATTATAAGGTATAACACGTTAAATTATTGTTAATAATTAATAACAACACGTTAAAGGATTATAATTACTAAGGGTTAAAATAATATCTCGATTTCTTTTTCTCTCTTTGGGCCAGTTTTAAACATCATTCATTGATGCTTGACGTTTTCTTTGAGTCTTTTTGAGCGCTCAATAAGATGATGTAACCACTTTTGGTTTATTTTGCTGTTCTTGTAATTTGTGAATGAATATCTCATTCACTAGCTTGTACTATTCACTCAAGTGTCTTATCTATTCATTCACCCCCTTCATACATGTCGTATTCACAAATGATAGAAATTGGATGCCTAATCATACAATGTATCCATATCTTCCTTATTGACAAATCAAACGTCCTAACCAAATCATATGTTCTACCTAATCACATATCTTGGCCAATCAGAAGTCCTATCCAATCACACATCTTTCCAATCAAACAACATACACAGTCACACATCCTACACAATCACACATCTTCCCAATCACAAGTCCTATCCAATCAGACGACAAACACAATCACACATCCAACCCAATCACACATTCTGCACAATCATACGTCTTACACAATCACTTATCCTGCACAATCACTTATCGTACACAATAACACAACCTACACAATCACACGTCTTACACAATCATACGTCCTACTCAATCACACGTCTTACGCAATCACACGTCATACACAATCACACATTCTACCCAATCACACATCCTACATAATCACACATCCTACACAATCACACATCCTACACAATCACACATCCTACACAATCACACATCCTACATAATAATACGTCACATCTAATTTCATATACTACCTTTTAAATGTTCTGTCTAACTGCATACGTGTTTCAGATTCCAAAAGTGGAAGCTGTAGAATTGACGAAGACTCCGAAAAAGTTTTAGAACCGGTAAAGACGCCAAAAAAGTTGTAGAAGTTGATGAAGACTCCGAAATATAATGATGTAAAGTTTTTGCGGACGCCAAAAAAGAATGCGGTAGAACTGATGAAGAAGGCAAAAGAGATTATTATAAGAATGATGCAGTCATATAAGATAGATACAATCGCCAAAACCAAGAGCTGTTGAAGACAAGGGTTAGTTGGAGATGTCTTTAAAATGTAAAGCGAGTTAAAACACTCAAAATATCTTCCATTTGAAAAATCCTCAGCAAGATAACAGAACAACAAAAGCCACCCATAGACAGAGAGAAATCACCTTCAATAGAAAGTAAACAAAAACAAATAGCTAATACATTATATGACTATTTGTAGTTTTCTTGAGATATACCCGCATTACAGAGCTAGACTGCTAACCTGAAAGTCTCGAGTTCAAAGACAGTGAAATGCTCCTGATTCCACCCAGCTCTGATGGGTACCTAACTCACGTTAGGTAAAATAAAGACGGCTGGGTATAGTGCTGACCACATTATCCATTCATATTTCGAGGTCTCTGAAACAGATAAACTCTACTTCATCTGCCATATGTGCCTTGATCACGAACCGGAACAGATGATGATGCGACTCGCATTATATTTTCTATAAACCTTGTCTATAGTTGACAGTAACCATTAATACTGCCTCTAACCATAACCCTCGGAGCTGTGCGTAAGGAATATGTTCTTCCTTCGATAGCTTTACTCACTGAAACAAAAACTGGGACTAAATTTTTACATCTTGGTGTCGACACTCAAACATTTATACACCACATCCGGAGGGGTCGCGAGTCGTGGGCGAGGGGTACGGACAGCACCGGGTGACGCCATTTCGGGGGATGACACCAAAACAAAAAATTGCAAGATTTATAAAAAAAAATGTTTTATTAAAAAACTATTTTAAATACACAATTACGATAAATACGGGAGGGGTGACACTATGACGTAAACATGCAAACTATAGAGAAAACAATGCTACACCCAGCTGTATTAACAACCGACAATAGATAAACATCATTAATATTAAATGTGAACACTTTTAAGCTTTTACTGTGAAAAGAGGGGGGGGGGGGTGGGTGGGGCGGGGTTTACACCAACTGCAAACTTTACAGATAAAATTTAGGGGGGGGGGGATACACCATGAGCAGCCGCACCGGGTGACACCCGACCTAGCGACACCACTGACCACATCTATTACTTTTTCACCCATTAATCTCATGAGATAACGAGTTACGTTCAGCTCAGCTAACTCTGCGTGTAATCTTTAGCTTACTACACAACATTAAAAAAAATGGATAACCAAACCAATCTCGCAAGCATATTTTAGGCCTATTAAACTATTCCCTACTTTAATTAAGAATAATATTTAGAAATCAATTGTGCTCAATCATTAACCTTTGTACTTATTAACCTTGGCTTTCGTCATAAATATGAACGTATGCACAGTC